CACCGATTGTTATAAATAAGAATGATTAATCAATAATTAGACCTAAGCTGACATTTAAACATATAAAAAGGCACCGGGGTGTTCATTGGTGGCTAAGAGGTACACGATTGTAGAAACGCCTATGGTTTTCATCAATCTTCTCCAAGAAATAGGTTCCAGGAAAGAAGTGATTGGGATTGAACGGTGGTTCTAGGGGCGCTGAAACAGGAAAGTAGAAGGAACGCTGAGAAACATGACCCGCCCCGCAGTAAGTTACAAAGCAATGAAAGAAGACCTGGTAGAAGACTGACAATGAAAAACTAGGCGACAAGAGAGCCAACAGAAAAAGAGGGGATTAGCGTGCATAGGAAAAGGACTGCAATGCTAAGAGTCTGCTGAGCAAGCTCAAGTCTAAACTACTTGATCTCCCTCGCCTCAGAAAGAAGCTCTGAAACTAGTCTACTTGGCAAACATACGTTTTCGGCAATTCATTATCGGGCTGGTACAATTGTATGAATAATGACAATAGTACAGCTGGACGGGATAATGAGTGTCTTATGATTACAACTCATCGTTTTAACGCCGCCCGCATGACGATATTGAAGTGTAGAGGTCATTGCTTTGGGGAAGGGGGAGAATTGCGACAGGCTGTGAGTATTGGTCATAGGTCGAGGACGTGGAGTGAAAATTACTGTTGCTCGCATGGAGTGAACAGCTGTCCCTTAAGGGTGGGGCGCTACCTGGCGTCGGTGTCTGCCACGGAAATAATAGAGTTTGGAACTGGATTCGCTAGCAGTATAGGCACTGCCTCGGCTGCTGGTAGCACCCTTTGGCATAGGCCCTTGAAGTAGTTGGCCAGTGTCCGGTGGACAACCTGAAAGGCTTCGTTAGGATCGACTCGTATCGAAAAGGTGTGCGAGAATAGAAGTCGATATCGATTTAGTTTCATAATTACTTAACTAAATCGGTGTGCTCACGTACCCTCTTTTCCAGGCGCCTCGTTGTTTGGCTAGTGTATCCTGCCCCACAGGAGCAAGTGAAAGAGTAAATGTACATGGCCATGTCCTAGGATTTTATTTCACTGTCTGCTCTTTTTGCTAAGTTACGCTTGCTGGCTCGTGTTAACTGACATCACTACATGTGATTGTATTACCTTTAACAAGTGAGTAGCCACCTACAATTATGTAAAAGACCCCTCTAAAATGCTCGGCTGTACCGATGAATTTCTTCACTACTGTGTACCGATGGGGAGTTCAAAGGCGTTGGCACATATTTCCCATAATAGACTTAATTTAACAAAGATTTGGCCTTCAACGCGAGTCGGTGTGTTTCTCCCAATCATAGGAGGGGAGGGCTTAAGTTCGCCGCGGAAAGCGCTTTTAAC